CACTTTACATACAGAATCTCTTTCTCTCTTTTTCTCTTTCTCTATTTATTCTATTATATATAATCATAGATCTCATATAATCATAGTATCCTGATATATAAGAGTTATGTAAATAATATATTAAAGTCATACCGCGCGTGTATAAAATTTATATTTTCCGAGAAAATAAAAGTTATATGATACTTATGCTTATCTTGGAAAAAGAAACTTAATATGCAACATGTCAGTGAATTGACTTCATGTCTCATCCCAGCAAGAATGCAGACACATTTCTTATTTCCATGAAGCATCTCCTGTAACTTTATGGAAAATAAGTTTGATACAACAGCTACCGAGTCTACCGCAAGTTGGACATCACGTAATGCTGTTGTAAAGACCAAACTTTAGCCATCTAGAGTTCCTTTGGCTACATCATAGAATTGCATTACATGACATCGAATATTTTCGTTTTAAGTGCAATTAACGATAGAAGCAATTAAGCATAATATGAATGCATATAATATAAGAGTTGATATTTTTGACGAAATAGTTTGAAATATTCTATAAATAGCAAGTTGTGTTAGTCGTCTCCTTTTTTGTGAAGAATTACACACACACACACACACACATGCACACATTGCAACGCTTCGTTTTTTCTTCAGAAAACTACGCGCATTCGTGTAACCTAGTAAAACAACTTTATTGGAAAAGAGATATTTGGTAGAACTTTCAAACGCAAAACGTATTCCCTGTCATGCGTAAAGGACGTGTGTTCCACTGGAATAAATTTATCCAACTGCTTGACAAACAGTGCCATGTTTAGCTTTTAAAAAGTTTAAAGAACATAAAAATCACGAACGTATATCGATCAATATTTTGCCTTTTTCTTCAGGCACAACGATCTACCTTGGAACATACGAAAGTTTCTGAAGAACCAGCTAAGGGAGTTCAGGTTTGATGACCTGAGGGACACTCATCCTTGGTCACGAAGCGCCTGGAGCCATACAGATCTCAAGAGATTAAAGGAAGGCATGGTTGCAGCGCAGGTGAGTTTAATAATAACGGCAATAACAAGAGTTCCCCGAAGTTATTACTTCGGCCAAAGTTCGTCCAACCAATCGCCAAACTGATTGAATGTATCAAAAATTTCCCGTTCAATATCAAGCGTTCGATTTTACTACAATTAATTACTGTTAATATTTATATCACGAAAAATCGGCTTAAATTTTAAAAGTAGAATCCACTAATGTTTTGAGATTTTCAGTGACTTGACTTTATAATGATATGCCACTTTTAATTATATGGAGAACTGAAAAAATTAATATAAATATAAAGAATTATATATGCAACACAATTAAATTCTTGAAAAAAATATTGAAGCTACGAGATTATCAAAAATGATTGTTAACTTCCCGATAAAATTTTAATTGCGTTGATTATACATATTACGCACACGCAAGTATTTCTATCGTTTTTTAAAATTATAATTTCTCTCTCACAATAGAGAGACATAAATCTATAAATAGATTATGATTATATTTACTCTTAGCAACGAAAATATATATTGTATTATATCACGAAAAGAAATGTGAAGGAAAAAAACCTTATCGTGAAATATTAATTTTCCTCGGTTTTCGTAAACAAACCTGGCAATTAGTCGAGCTTAACATACTATTTTCACCAACTTTATCGCAGCTCGTGAGTGAAAATTAAATCCAAGTGAATGAGGGAATCGCATGTCGCTTCGAAGCTACAGTACCGCCAAATTGCAATTAAATGTTCGCACGTAGAATTCGACCTGCAGAATCATCGAAATTCATAACTAATTTAAAGTCACGTTTATCCGTCTGATTTAAATTTGAGCGTCTGTCGACTCTCAGAATCGCATGCAATTGGCCGTTCAATGAAATGTACGTCATATCGTGTGAAGCCTGTTTTGTTCATGGCAAGCATGGGATTATTAATTTATGGCATGCTGTGTACGTAACTCGGCTATAAATCAAACAGCAGTGGTGCCGCGCCTAATAGCAATTAATTGATTTTACGAAGATTTCGTGTCTACGTTTAGTTAAACACTAATGCGTAACGTTTGTAAGCTTAAAATATTCCAACGCGCGAATTTGCGCAAATATCTCGTAATTTCTATCCTAACAGACACGATAAAATTTACATGACAAAGAGGATTACATGCTATGAAATATGCTATGAAATGCCACGGTAATAGAAAAAAAACATCTGTTATGGAACATATTACAGTGACGGAAGGATTAACAATCTATCGTGTTACATCACCCGGAACAATTTCGTGGACAAAATTTTTCGATTAATACGAACTTATCCGGAATTACCAGCGGATCTGATCTCTTCTCTTTTTAACCGTGAATTTAATGAATATAAATTTTCGGTTTTTCCGATCGCGCAGTTAAAGCTTTCGTGCGCGACGCTTCCACCGAGCGATCGTTAATAACCGGGGGATTAATCTAAAATCGCAATTAAGATCTGACCATAAAAAATCGCTTCTCGGTTCAATTAACGGCAGAAACGGCTCTTTAACGACCCGAGGAAAATCGAGGCGAACTTGGGCAATTAATTTCCTTCGGTTGCTCGCCGTGCTTCACGCGCCGCCGAAAATTTACCACGACACGATCGGTTTCTCCATCCTCTACTCCGAAATACCTTCGATTAATCCCGCGAAAATCCTTTTCGTGCGGTATCGTTTCGTATAAACTTCGACATAGCGCGCGAAACTTTGCACGGAGGATGTCTATCGAGAATGGCTTCTGACTACATCTAAGGCGGTCTAAAATAATTCGCTACGAAAAACTAAAAGGTAGGAAAATCAGGATGGTAAACAGATTATAAAAAATATTTTGGTATACTGACAATATTAAACGTAGACTTTCCCCCCAAATATGTATGAAAAAGTATGAAAACAATTTAACAATAAGAAATTAAAATTTTACGTATATCAATCTGAATTAAAAATATTAATTAGTAATTAAAATACATGAATAATATGAATACTCGAGACAAATGTTGCACAAATTCTTTCCAATGATAAGATTTCCTGCAATTTGAAGCGTTCTCATTATCAAAAATTATTTTCCTTTGTACCTCGAGTTTATTGCATTTAAAGCAACTCTCAAAAGAGAGCAGAAGCAGGGAATTTATTTACGATGCTTGTGAAACGCGCGCGATTATGTCTCTGAAGACGTGAAGTACATAGTCGAGAGTTAACATAAAAGAAGGGGAAGATAAAGACAAGACGCGCACCTACACTCGCATATATACGCGCACGCAAAGTAGCTCGATAGAAAGTTTCGAGGGAGAGAATGCGTGCGAAGATACAAAAATATTCCTCCGGTACGTGCTCGAACGTCGAATTTGATGGAGCGTGCTGCATATATGTAAATCGTCGGTATATGTATAGCTCACGGTTCATTCAAACGAGGATCTTGGTTCGTATTAAATAAGCAATGCGATTCGATAGCACGGTAATAGCGGGTATACCGGTCATAGACCCGTTACGGGTGTGCGATATAGCGGGCTCGGAATCCATTTAAGAGAACCGATATCGAACGACCGCGGAAACGCAGCGTATACGGAGCGCGATATATACATTCTTAAATGCATTGAATCTCGGATTAAATCGGAAGGAGGATTACGGGATTTCGGTCTCTCGATATTCATTTTCGAGGTGCCGCGCGCGTCCCGTACGTAAATCCGCGCTTTTTCAAACGAGATTCGAAACCTCGTACGGGAAACCTCGTCCGAGATCTGTTAAAACGCATTACGAATTAACGCGAACGCGTTACTCGCGTTGTTCGTGCCAGCGACGCTGGTAAAGATAAATAATGTATCGCGAGAGGTTACATCGACGTAAAATTTTCAGTTACAATAGAACTTTGGCGCGCAAAGAAATGTTACAGAAATTGAACGTTTCCGAGCGGCGTCGGATAAAAGCGTAATATCGAAGATCACCCGATATATTCCCCGTCGAGAAGAAGCAAAATTTCTCGAGAGACCTTTGAAAATACCAGCGTTCTCGTTAGTAAGACAGTCTCGGCGTGATTCAGCTATTAGGAGCCGATTTAGATGCATAGTTATAGCAGCCACGAAATGGTGTGCCATGATAAAAGGGCCACGATTCGAAAAGTCGGCCCTCGTGAAAGCGCAAAGATGGAGCGAGACACCTTTGAAAAGGATCGAGGTCTTAGTCGCTCACCTTAACGTTAAGATCCGCTTACTTTCAAACATGGGGGAAAAGAGGAACACAAACGAGCAACCATCGCTAATGAGAAGACATATAAATACGCGCCATTTACCGTCACAATGTAATGAAATTATTAATGTTATTAAATAGAATATTAATCTGATGCATAATGATGTAGTAGAGCGCATAGTCGTGTTTACCGTGCGCGGCAACATAGCGCTATGTGCGTTACAAGCAATTTTTCATAATTAATGCCAATCTGCGATCACGCGAGATGTGCAAGCTGCAGCTCGTAATCACGAAAAAAAAAAAAAATTACGAGGACAATAACGCAATGCTTAATGGTCGGATAATTGCGCGAGAGTTTTTCTTTTAATATAAATATCACATTTATACACGCGAATCATTAATAAAGGGATTAAAATTGGAACGCGAGGATTTTGTAATTAAACTGAATAAAAGCGCGCAAGATGATATTACACATAGAAAACCGTATTATAATAATAATAAAGCCACGCATGGCGATTATAATATTGTTCAATCAAATCTGTATATAATTTCCATTTAATTTTCATCGATAATTTTTAATTTATTCGTTAATAACACAATTTTCTAAAAATACGAATATTTAAAAATATTGATGGACATATAGCAATACTGAAGGGAATATCAAAGAAGGGAAAGCGAAGTATGAGAGATCTCACACCGACTATATATATATTTCGGATTATGTTCCGACCTCGATAGATCCCTTAAGGTATCCAGTCTGCCAACGTCAGGACGAAAGGGATAACCACTCGGTTATGTCCATTGGGACGAACGCGCATACACACATATACATAACGCATACATCGTATGTATACGGTAACCAAACCAAGGCCCGCCTCGATCTATCACTGTCCTGGTTAATTCAGACGGGCTGACTGGTATCCACTGTGGAAGGTTACTCCATTGATCGCGTGCCGTCGACTTACATAGGATCTTATACATAACGTCGCGACGTGGACAAGATTTTCCCTTGTAATGATCCTTTTACACAATCATACAAACTTCCTCAATTAAACGCGCAGCAGAATAGAGTATAAATACATGCATCAAAATTTTGCTATTACGTATTTAAAATATATAAAGTTTATTCTAATTTTTTAAATACGACTTTTTTTAAATAATTTTTTCGCATATATTTTTTTTTTTTTTCATTTACAATTAGAGGAGATTTAATATAAAAGAAAGCCGAAACATTTCCCCATTATACATCCACAGTATACTAACGCGTCGCAGAATCCGAAGAATCGATACAAGTACTTTCGTTTGAACCCTCGGGCTGTCTATCCGCGAGATTCTCGGCACTTGCAGCACATCACAAATCACGAAAGTGCATTCCAACTTGAGATGAGCCGAAGCTACCCGATTTATCGCGTCTCTCGGTGGGAATTTGCATTACACCTTCGGCGACTTTGCAGCAAGAGAAGCAATTCGGGGTAAGACGGGAGAAAATTTACGTCTCGCGGAGTTGTTTCGGAATTTTAGATGCATTGCAAGAGGACTGATGGAAGATGGAACGCCAGCGGCGAAACACGTTTTTTTAATCTCTCTTTTTTGACGACTGTTACTAAATTGAATTTCTATTATCTTTTTCATTTTTCGTTATACATTTTCACATTCAATAACTAAACGAGCTAGTAATAAAGGTGCAATCGATTGGATATATAAATAATTGCAGTACCAATAAATTCGTCAACAAATAATATGTAAAAGAATGTTATTTTTGTAAAAAATTAATATGTGAAAAAATTTATTTTGTTTTCATATATCGCCATTGTGTTCTTAAATTGTAAATAAAATAGAGAGCAGTATTTTTGCTATTCTAATATTGCGAGAAACTCTAGTAAGAAAAACCTGTATATAACATCACAACGCGAGATACGTTTTGAAATTTACACAGCGCCAGATGCGAGGATTAATAAACTAACACGATAAGAAAGAAAGCAATTCCTTAAATCGATTTTCACGTGCGCGGTTCTTCGCGAGGTGATCTCCGCGAGGTAAGCTAAAACGGCCGTCTTAATAGCCAGTTCGCATTGCGCAGCTACAAGATTGCTAAAACTTATCTCGTACTACGGCGAAAAAGAGAGAGAGAGAGAGAGAGAGACAAAAAAAGGAAAAGAGAAAGAAAGAAAGAGCAGGGGGTCCTTACGACCACAGCTCGCCTTTAAGTAGAATCGCAGATACGACACGTTGTATACACGCGGAAAGGAGAGTATTTTTACGAACGTCTGACCTAAAACTCGCCACAACTACTGCTCGTTCTTGCGCGCGGCTGAGCTAGAAAGATGCGGAAGGGAAAAGAGGAATCTCGCACACACACACATATGCACATATACACATACGAAAACACGTTCTGTGAATGTCTGACCTAAAATGCTGCGGTAACTGCCTCCTTACGGTATCGTGAGGAGGAATACGAGGGGCGATTGTACCACTAATACAGATGTCGGTATATTTCGCTTAATATCCCTGCATTTTCCCTGATGTAAGATTACGTAGCGCTGTTCGTCTGTTGAAATCAAGTTTCTTCCGCCGTGACGTTTGAAATTAAGATTTCGCATCTAGAATTGGGATTGCTGATAGCGCAAATGCAATTGCGAACTCGCAGTAGTGCTTGTTTGCGTATGAACATATATTTCTCCCTAATTATCGTTAGAACGTATGAAAAAGCCATTAATAACGAATAATATTTTATTCATTGATAATGACACACAGTTCATGTAATTTCAAATAATGTAGTACACGTGAGCGAAGCACATTTGGCACGAGAGATGTCATGTCTGACACGATAATGTTCTCGTTAAATAAATACCGCGTGTATACTCAATAACGTGGAGTCTACGTCCTTTTTTTTTTCGACGGCTGTACCGCCGGATGTATTCATTCAACTATATATGCAAGAGCAATTACGAGTTAAAAGTTTTTCAAGTCTTGTGTGCCGTTTTCGTTTGACATACCGGCATTAAACCGCGAGAGCATAGGCTGAACTTTCCGCTCTCTGCCGTTGAATTATTTACGCGTCGCAATTAGCCGTCTCGCGGCTAAAAGTCACCAAAGTACTCGAAATACAGACGTCCCGAACGTAATTACGGCTGCTGGCATCGCGCGCGATTAAAGTCGTCACTATTCGCGGCGTCGCTGGCGGCTTCGCGATTCGCGACTCCTACAATTCCTGTCAACTGCAGACCGAAGTGATACTAAAAGAAAAACCGGAAGAATCCCCCTCCCCCTCCCCTCGCATCTCCTCCGTTGATTTACGACGCCGCGACGGTAACTTCGCGCCTCAAGCATAAATTCCTTCTGCATTGTTGAATAAAACTTCTCGACGACGACGCGATGCACTTGTGCATAATATAATACGAAAAATTTGCGTTAAAGTAAGGCACCTCGTCCTCATTTCGATTACAAAACACAAACTTAATGTTTATCATGTCCACGTTTTGACGATGTCACCCGATAAGATATCAACCGTTTGTATCTTAATGAAAATTTATTAACTCTTCGTATAATCACATTATCCTGTCTTCTTTGCGAAAAGTAAGAATGTAAGGACATAATGAAGCGCAACAAAGAAAGAAATCTAATCGCGGGGTTGTTTGAATTACCGACTGTAAGGATAACCGGCTAAAGTATGCGCATAAATTCTGTAATGTCAAACGGATGTCGTAACGAGTAAAAGAACTAATTATATCGCCGCGCGACGATCTCGCGTGACACGGCTAAAAACAGAAATCGCGATCTCCGCATCGCGTGCCTTTTTGAAGTCGCGGTACTCTTTTTTTTTTTGTAATGCCATGAACATGTCATGCATAGAGCGTAACCTTAAAAGACGGTACATTTATAGTCAAATTATTCCACAAACCGAACCGTTATTTTCTTACTTTGGAATGCATTACGCAAAGGGACTCTTAAAGTTTCTGTTATTTACGATCGCCGCCGATATCTAGTTATTTAAAATGCAAATTATCCCGTGTTTGCAGACTATCGTAATGTGCATTTAATTATATATTCCTAACGCTGATATCAGTTGCTGGATTAAAACGGAGCATTATATGTGTCAGAAATATCTCGTAATTAGAATGAGAATGAGATTAACGTTATTATATTTTAAATCAGAATAAACCCTCATAAGCCAATATTGAATACAAGTAATCCTTTGTAATAAATCGCAACATTTTTATCGATTTTAGCTTTAGCATGAGAATAGCCTACTTTACATTTCAGTATCGTCATAATATATCCATTAATATGATGAATTTTCAATAGAGCTTATCAATATAAAATTAACGTATCTTTTAATAATTTATAATTAAATAATAATCATCATTCATATACACTTATTGTATATGAAATAAAATAAAATATATTAGCATATTATATCTTTGTATTAAAAATAAAAAAATTGGGAACATTATTCAACATGTTCGTAGATTGAGCAAAATATAAAATATAAATATCAAATATAAATTGATAAATTGAATAATTTACTCACGTATTTCCGTTTCACTCTGTTGCAGTTTTGGTCCGCGTATGTACCCTGCTCGTCACAGCATCTTGACTCGGTGCAGTTGGCCCTGGAACAAATAGACCTTATTCGCCGATTGGTTAACAAGCATCAGGAAAATATGGTCCTCGTTACTACAGCGGAAGGTTTGTAGTTTTTATTTCCGCCTACTTTTAAGCTCGCGAGCGCAGCGAAATAAAATCAGGAATACATGAGATATTAGCTTGAAACATTAAAAACATTGCGACTTGCGAAAATGAAAATTCGCCTCGCGATATACATTTGGCGTATGGCCAATCTGAATCGACCTCGACTTCGTTCAGTACTTCAAATATTTTCAATTGAAAACTCGCTCGATCGACATTCCGCCTTTCAGAAAAATATGTGGCCCGAAGGTCGGCAGGAGAACTTTGGAGAGCCGATCAATTTAAAAAACTCGCAATTTTTCATTCGACAGGGAATTTATTAAATCGCGGATTACAACGAATATTCCACTTAACCCCTTAATGCCGACCATATTACTTGATAATCCGAGTTTCGCCCGGAAATTAATGCGTTACTCGGCGCGGGATCAATCTTGCATAATTGTTCGCTATATCAATTTACTCTCTACAGACCCAGCGATGTTTAAAATTACAGAGATAAAGCCGATGCGATGGGATAAATTTCTCCTCGTCCGAGCAAACATATTTTTGAATTCCCCGCCTATGACATTTTTTTTCCCAGCTGTTATCCATACATCCGCATTTCTCCTGTAATCTCCTGTATCTCGCATTTTTTTCGCTTGTTGATGAATATTCGCGAAAATAAAAGCATAAGTGAAACGTAGACCGCGGAAATATGTTATCCACAGCACATGTCCGTTCTGTCTGAAACCGGCGAAATCGCTATAGCATTAAATTTTCATTATCGAATTGGGTTATCTATTTGCCGCTCGAGTCCTCGACATGTTTGAGATCCTTTGGCGCTGTGTCAGCGAGAATCGTCGTTCTTCATCCTTCGGCATTTTCGTTATAGACTTTCCTTTCAAAAATTTAGAATGCACTTTAGATAGTGAAGAAGAAGTGCGGAACGGAAAACGAGTAATCGCTTCTTCAACGTAAGAAGCATCTTTCGAATGTCTTCTGAAGTGTCTTTCGACCTCGTCGAATCCATTTTGGAACGATCCGCCAGAACAGCCGAGTTTTCCAGGTGCGAAGTTCCACAAAAGAATTAAAAAAAAGCGAGAGTGTAATAAGATCGATTCAAGGGAGACTTCCCTCTCGCATCAGTTCTTCCTTATATTTTTAGAAGGAAAATTCTTACACGGAAAATACGCGGGGTTCTTACGCATACATGTATGACTGCATTGAAGAACATATCGAAGAAACTAAAAATATTCTGCACGAGAAATGAAATTCATTTGTTGATGAAAAATTTAAAAGAGAGAGGAGGAGAAAGAGAATTATGACAGTCCAATTTCGTTCATATTGATAAAAATATGGCAGAGCAATATCACACCAATAACATTTTCATGGTGTATTTATACAGAGAAATTATATTTATATAAATATAAATATAAATTCGTACACCACTTTGCGCCATATCTATCAATAACAACAACAAAATGTTATAGCTTTCAAAATTGTTATTTTTCATTTTGTAATTGCTTTTTAATAAATTGGATTGAGTAGTAATATTATATAACATTTTCAAAAAAAAAATATTCTATTAAAATTTTGATGAATATGCCGAAAAATAATCAAAAATTCTGGAAATCTATAGAATATTGAAAATTTTCTTAGACATTTTTATGACGTTCTTTCGTTTCTTTTTTTTTTTTTTTTTAGAATCTTTTACTCTAAATGATTTTCAAATGTTTATGCCATAATTCTTATCATGATTTGACTTTAACACACACACACACACACATACACAATATCTTCAAATAATTGATTCATCGAGAAAGAAACTGCAGTCAAGATATTCTATAACCGTAATAAACATTTAGATACATATAATATAAATATTACCATATCATAAATGCATAAGATCTCGATGGGTTTTTTCTCAAGCTTGGAAGAAACCGGTTGAACTGGTAAAAGAAAAGATAGAAAAAGGCGATGACTACAATGTGATAAATCTGCGACATCAAGAAAATGAGAAAAAGAATAGAGACAGTTTCAGTAAATAGTCTTATTGCTTTGTCGATTGACTTTCGTTTGACATATGCATTCCTGGACAAAGGCCGATTCGCGCTACAAAAACAGTTCATTAAAATTAATATTACGGGAAATAGCTGCTGTATTTCTTTATCCGCAAACACTATAAACAGAAACTGCAGCTTCGGCATAAATGGATTGATTATATACATACATAATCAAATACGGAAGTGACGACATCGAGTGTTATTACATTATCAAAAATGTTTTACGATATAATATGAAACCGGTAAGACAAAGTTATTTAGAGAAATAAACAAAGAGGATTCAAGTGCATTTTACTAAATATAAATTGAAAATTTTCTTTGATGATATAAGAAAGGTCTCACAGATTCCTGGACTATATTGGAATATGTCAAATTCTTCTCCCCATTTTTAATAAACAATATAAAATTCCTGCCATAATTCTTAACCACGTCTCAATTATTGTTATTATGTTTCTCTTTTAATGTTCTATTACTTTCTCCCCCCCCCTCTCTCTCTCTCTCTCTCTCTCTCTCTGTCTCTCTCTATCGCTCTCTATTATTTTTAATACGTCATATTTCGCGAGGATGTGCATTCGCCAGGTATTCCTAGAAAATATTCCTATATTTGACGAGCAAATATTTGCCGTTGGATTTCGTTGTCCCGCTGTCACAAGGTGCGCTGTCTAAGCATAACGCAAATCCGATGAGAAGATGATGGAACGCAAGAAAGATGCGCGCCGGATGGTAAATTCCAACCGGAATGGAAAAATGTCGGTCCGATGTGCCGACCGATATATGTATTTCGTTCGATAACTCCGAACGTCGACGACTGTATGTCGCCGCTCACATGCATATGTAAATGAACATGAAATACGCATACGTACATTCATATGTACGGACATCTGATTGTACCAAACCGACAGTCCCATATGCCTCATCGCGACTTTGTCTCCGCTGATTAAAAAGCCAAGGTATTTCAGAGACAACATAGAGAAATGTATTTGCTGTAATTTCGTTGTATATTGTTGTGCGCTTCCGAGCGATATTTTAGAGTGTCAAACATATCTCGAGAATGATATTTCCAAGAAGAGATAAATTTCGATGCATATTTTCTATATAAATATATATTAATATATCTGAATTGATAAAAAAATCATTTCATTTTCGGAGCAATATTCATTTCTCATTTCGCATTTCCTTCGATATGCGTAAGGAGAAAATCACGTGCTCCACTTTACGCGCATAACTCACTCTTTATTCATATTTTTCGAAGCATTGCCCTCACTTTATTCACAGCGCATTATGTGAGTGTTGATAAGAAAACAAACGATCATATGTCACCGTAAAGAAAACCGCATGCCCGTCTTTTTAAAATTATATGCAAATTTTATGCACATCGGTAGCGCGTTATCTCTTCCGACTGGAAAAGGAGTCGCGCGAAGAGAGTGAGGCAGTACAAAATATAGCACTTTGGGGAAGCAATCTGCCAGATGGAAGAAAGGGCGCCGGTAGAACGCGGAAGATGAGAAATTCCACGAGGAATGGAAGAATGTTCTGAAACCATGGAGCTCGCCGTAGTTCCTCCGATAATGTCGAAGAGCACTCGTCTTGATATATATGTACGTGCGAGCGCATACATGCATTCGCATGCACGTACAGATACAGAATACATGCATATATCCGTACGAGAGCACACGAACCGATACATTCACAGGGACAAATGTATCAGCGTTACATGAAAGCGGGTGCAAAAGTATAAATCGCGAGGCGCACTAAATCAAGGACCCATCGACAGCACGCGTTTTATTCGTGACACTCCTTTTACGTCCATTCGTCCATTAGAAGCCGTAATACAACGTAATCGCCAGCCACGTCAGCGGGAAAAATTAAAGCCGCCGGCGCCGCGACAAATGACATCGCGGTGACACATTCGATTTGATTCAGGATTCGAGCAGGAAAAAAATGCGCATTGTTAAACTTTTAACGTTCATATACACGGGAAAGAAGAGACATTTTCCGCGAGGGTTGAAGGATCTTGGATCTAAAGTGACTTAAATAGACATGTCGGAAGTTTTCATACAAGGCTATTGAAAGATAGCTACCGCGATCTTTCGTCGCTTTCGTCGTAAAACGGGATTATACATTTAAAAAGTATGCAAATTTTAGTACAGGCACTCTTCTACTTACAAACTTTCGTTTTACGAACTTTCGCAAGTAGGAACAAAATTATAATTCGTCAGTGCCAACGCTGTGAGCGTCCTGTCGCTTATACGAAGAAGAATGTAAAACAATTTAGTTAAAGATAATGCGGTTTCTGTTTCTTTTTTAACATAATTTGTCTTCTATTTCTCAACAAAAAATTTAAGTAAAATAATTTCAAACTTGCAAATCGTCGACTTAAAAAATAGCGTATCCAGAAATTGTAAAATTGAATTAATTTTTGGAAACGTTTACACTTTCATGCAAGAATCCTACAATGAGCTCTTCAATTATCTGCATGAATTCTTCAATTATCGATCGTTGGACCAGTATGCGAATGATACATATAAACATTTATTAATATTCGAGAATGTATTAAAAATACACATCGGTATATTGTAACGATGCAGCGCGTACAGGTCGTATTATGTATTCCGGTTTATTGCTTTTGTGTGTGATATTACCTCGCTCCGGAATGTTATTTTTAGAAGCGCGGTAATCCGTTGACGTCAAGTGTATTACTTCCGCCTAGCTGCCGTGAATTCTTTGTAATTGGATGATAAATTACAGTGTTGCTTTTTCTCCTTTTTTATCAAACTCATCCGTAAGCCGATGCTGAAGTATGCTCAAGCGGGCAATGAGAATTCGCACGGAAAAACGATGAAACTATACACATGTAATTCGTGTGTATGCAAATGTATTGACAAGATGCTCCCTAATCCGATGTATCCAATGAGATATTTTAATCAAATCCGTATAACGCATACCGCGAAATTGAATTCCTCGATACCATCGGCCGGATCTTGCGCCAGTGAATTTGATTAAATGATTAAACGTCGCAAATCGAATTCGCGGAATGACAAAATGCTCGATTACCCGTTGATTAAGAGCCCGAACTCCACCCGCTAAGTCTTCTTCGATCGATTCCCGGATTTTGGATTTTAGTGGCCCGAGCATCGTCGGCTTAATTAACTTCTATTTATACTATGTAATTAACGATCACCGCGATGAAACATTCGATAACGACAGGTAATTTGAAAGATTTAATTAATCCAAAGAGATCGGAGACGTGAGATAAGCTCGCTTAATTATAATCCACGTGCGTCGCGCATTATGCGCGTCGTAATTGAATTTTACACTCGTATTGTTTACGCTCGGCCTCGTACGGAATAAGAGGGGCACGAGGGTAAAAATATCGCGTTCAAGTATTTTTCTCCGACGGTATTTCGTCTCGACAATTTCGGATCGTACGTATGTTCATCGAAAATGTTGTTTCAACGCGATTCTGTCTTTATTTTCCGATGTCGTACGCAAACAGAATTTGCAAACTTTCTTAGATCCATTTACCATCGACGTTACTTATTGGGAACACGGCCGAAAGTTTGTAACGGTGTTCCAGCCGTTATTTGATTCAAGTCACTCGCATTATATGCGAAAGATTGCGAAAATGAGATTATTCTTTCGATAATGTAAAAATTAATGGACAAAATATAAATTTGGTTCAACATTAACACGGAACGTCGAAGAGTTAAAACGTTGACGTTTACATATATCCGGGATTTCTCTATCTGAACGCATGCGTCTGAAACATTTCTCGGCTTATTGGTTTCATGGCGCGTGTGATAAAAAACCACTGCTACTCTGTCAAAATAATGGCTCGTAATATTGTATGTGTGATGGAGCTTAATCCCAAATAAGATTTAAAGTTACGCCATTATCATCATGAATAATAGTGAGCAGACAGGGATACGTAAAGTAAATTATGATATTGATTTCAGGTATCGAGAAGGCGCACAAAGAGAATAGATTAGCGAGTCTGATAGGGGTCGAGGGGGGCCACGCTGTCGGAGCGAGTCTGGCAGTCCTGAGGATGCTGTACGAACTGGGCGCCAGGTATCTCACCCTCACGCACACATGCAACACGCCTTGGTGAGTATGCCAACGCAAAAATGCGATATAAAAGCCATAAAAAATGTCGTGCTGTAAAACGGGATAATAAGGAAACCAGAAGCAAAACGTATTACACCCGTACGAGATCGTACGAACTGCAATCTCGTTGTGGTCGTCGCTGTTATACGTTTGCGAACACATACACACGTACACAGGCTCAAGCTTTAATTATGTTAAGTTCCACAAAGTACATGCGCGCAGCGCGCTGCGACAAGTCTGTTTTGCTTAAATCGAGGCGTTAAACGCTCTAAATGCGATCTCATTAGAATAGAAAATTGCACGTACGATTTTTCGATAATAAAACTAATTTATGAAATCTCGAATATATATATTTTTCGCTTCGGAGATATAAGTTTGAGAAAGCTCGCCATTATTGCGTTGTTTGTAGACGCAAAAATTGAGAGACCGGTCGATGCTTTTGCATCTCATATTTCGTTTTGTAAAACGTAAATACGAGTGTCTGCGAGAGTGCACAATAGATCGAACAAGCGAGACAATTGTCGGGGTCAGAAGCCAAAATAAAAATTTATCACCGGATGTGTGTTGATACGCGAATAGCGATTACCAGTGTAGAATTTTATCGTCCAGCCGCTAAAAATGGGCCACAAACCGCGCAATAACGTTGGGCATTTCAGCAGACGTGTAATCGCCGATGCCTTTACAGCCGGGACTTTTCATCCGCGCTCTGCCTGGAGTGAAATACCTTCTGGTCGACGGTAGTAGTAATTCGAAGCCGTACACAGTTTCGTTCATTTCTCGTGCATTAAAAGCTATCGCTTTGAACGCGAGCGGTAAAACGTTTAACGTAAACGGATTAAAGTTCCCATAATAGTTCGTGCGCGCACCGTAAGATCAACGTTATCACAGTGTGTGTGTATGTGTGTGTATATGTATGCGCGCGCATCTGTACAATAGTCCGCAAAATTCGTAATTTCGGCCCTTTAAAGGTTGAATTGAAAAAGATGGCGATTGCAATATCGAGGAATTATATGGGTTCCTGTTACATGGATTATCCAGCTTTATGTGAATAAATATATCCATCGCTTTTCCAAAATATTTTGACTATTTTGTAAAATTTTAATTTTCTAGTAAAATTACTTGTGATGGTTAATAAAAAGGAGCGTTATATTTAAATCTGTTATTCTAGAGAGAATATTATATTCCGAAATCTTTATTTCTCAAGGAACACATGGAAAACATGCAGTAGCATTAATATGATCTTATATCTTTAGAGAAAAAACATTCTCATTCTATTACTTCGTTTATATTAATGGTTGATATTAACTAAAAATTATTAGGTCTATATAAAAGAATTATTACGTATAATAAAAAATAAAAACGCATTTTTTTCGTTAGCTTTAGAATAAAATTCTTTCTTTAAAATAAGTAATTCAATTATATCGTGTCATCCCAGGTTTCAGCGTGAAATTTCCCGGTGTAATCCACGGTCTTTCTTTTATACGTCGAGTTGTTTTGTTTCGAGATGGGAAGAGTATCGAGCGGGTATGCCGGGTTAAGATCGCAGGTCGTCTGCTCCAGCTGATGCCGCAGCAGACACACCGTGGAAATATTATCACGCGCGACAAACAATGAACAAATTCGCGAGTGCCGGCCTATTTTTATGAAACTTCAGAAACACAATATAAAACTTTTTGAGCGAATTGACGAATATCGCGAAGTATAGTATCATTCCGACGCGCCGCTTTTGTATGAGTGAGATGAGCTTCAATTTATCTGTCTCCTCAGGTTCTGTATTTCCGCGTGTTTCTATAATATCGCTCTCCGTTTTACGACATTCGCCAGAGTCAAGAATCGGTGCTCTAATATAAATCGATTTTATGGCATTGTGTTTATGATCGAGATGAATTTATATTATTCTTCTAAACTTTCGCCATTTATCTCCTGAAACTTTTCAATAAAGAATACAAATTTCTGTCTAATTAATATCAGACGAATTCTCTCGCGAAATTCTGTTGCGACCTAATACTGTTATTTAAAAATCACTTCTAGATTAGAGTTTCCGTTTTATTCAATTGAGCAATGTATTCATTACATCGGATTATCCCGAGAAGAGATAATTATGTAAAACGCTACTTTTTAAAACGTCCTCAATATATTTCGTGTAGCTAGGAATAAAAGAGAATTCCAGGTTATTTCGCCGAATAATACCTACCTACTCTCGTCATTACGAACGCTGTATTACGCGATGTATAATGAGAAACACGCAAGACGGCGATCAACTCGCTCAATTCATTTATGAGTATATTTAGCCCAACCTGAGGATACCGCGCCGGGGGAGGAAATGCGCGCAGAGCCGCATCGATAAAAATTGTTAACAATAGACGCGTTGCCGCGACCGACCTCCGGCGCGATTTATTTCCGCGACAGGCGAAACACGACGGCCGACATATTTCATGCATCCCTGCGTTGCTTTGTAATTAAATCTCGCGTGTAACATGATAAATCCCCGCGCGCGGATTAATGTATATTGTAACAATATTATACGCGTCCGGCGAGCATTCGGCATTTTACGACTGCGATAGATAGGGCGATTACGATGCGCGGCCAAACAAAAATGCCGCCTCTCTAGGCGCGCGCGATCGTAAATTCGTGAAATCGCGTCCGTGCGATTTAACTCCGATGCGATGAAATGTTCGACCGAAGGGCGTCGATCCGGTCGCTCGAACGAGAGGGAAAGCCGCGAGATCGAATGATTTAATGACGCGTGCCCATCGTTCGCAATTAAATCCGGCAGTGCGGCTGCAACTTCAAACCGATCTCGAGTCGAGGATTAGTACACGACGGTCGATGGTTATCGATTATCGCTATCATTATTACTGCCGCATCATTGCTCTATTCGCAACGGCTTAGAGGATATCGGCACTAATGCGCACGATTGTCAGCGTGATATTACCTCGAGTCCTCGAGCTGACGCTTAAAGCACGTCGTATGTCTCGCATAATCCCATCTACATAAGATATTTAACTCTCCCTTTCCCCGCCTCGCCGCCAGTTGTTATCGTGATTAGACGTGGCGTAACATGCCGTAGAGAATTGGAATGCATTGCGTAATATGCGACTAAAAGATATTTATGTAGATCGAGGAAAATGACTTGTATAGAAAATATTAGAAAAATTTATTTCTCGTTGTTGACACAGAAAATAGTCAATTTCTTTCACATACAAGCCATCCAATTCGACGAAACGTCATTTACTTGCACGTTACATGACAGGATCCAATTAACAATTCATCACGTTGTAGGAACATACACTATCGATCCTATCAACGGCCATAGAGAAACGTTCTCGTAATTATCTCGAAATAAAATTCGGCAAATTGCGGATAAAATAATCCCTTAAATTTTTTACTACACGGATTTGTCATATCCAGTAAGAGTATTTTACACGCGCAACCTATCCCAATTTTTATATATCTAAATCCGAAAAGTGATCAGATTTTTTGTGAAAATTTGAATTGCTTCGCATTTATTTTAACTGACTTTAAAAAAATATGTAAAAATTGAGATGCATGGCGCGTGTAACATTTTTATCCAGTAGTTTGCGACCATTTCGATATGTTTCGTGTAAAGAAAAAAAATTCTCTTATTTTTTTTCCCGAAAAGAAAAATAAATTTAAAAGCTAAAGATAGTAATATTGAAATATCTATGGATTTATTTCGCGAAAACACATATTGAAACTAATGAACGTTACATTGTGTAATATAAATTTAATAAAGTCGCACACAAGAATAGTCTCGAAATCATACGGAATAGAGACGAGTTAGTTGCGATATGATTGCGAACCGCATTCATTGTGTGACTCGGCGCAAGCTACTGTCCTATGAATAATACTATTGCCGTTATCGTTAGCATTATGGTAGCGTGGAAACCTGTGATTAGAGAGGATTCTATCGCAATAACGTTCACAATTGTCGCTACTGAGTTACTGACCTGTTGGTTCGTTAGGGCAGACTGCAGCACGGCGGATGAACCCGGTCAAGTGCCTCAAATCGGTGGTCTCTCGAATTTCGGCAAGGTGAGTACTAAAAACACATGCAAATCCATATATCATACCGATATGCGCATTATAATGAGTTTTATTTTTATTTGTTTTTTATTTGCAAAGATACGAAAAATATAATACGATACTAATAAAAGTACATGTAATGTTGTTATTCATATAGCAATATAATATTTCATTCCTCGCGAGATATAACGCGTAGTTCATGAGATTTTGTAAAATTATAAATTCACATTTACGATTATGGCATCGAGAATACAATTTTATAAAACATATACCATTGTGCAATCTATAAAATTAAATTCGTAAAAAAATATCGTATGCGCATCTAGCGCTATCGTACACGCTTGGTTTTATTTATACAATAGCGAATAGAATAAAAGAAAAATAACGTGAATATGTTACGTATTTAAATACAATACATCATAATGTGATCGTGTTCCTTTTCAAAACAATTCTCTCGAAATTTTCTAGACTAATAGTTTCAAAGCTCGATTATGGTGTCAAATAGAATTAAAATGTACATTCTCTGCTCACGTGCTCATTGTGACAGAATGACCAAGTTTGACCGCGTCAGCCATATTCAACTGAGTTTAATCGTAAATCTGGTATGTTCTGTGCCATTTGTATCGACGTGTCGTCCATAAATATACGGATTTCGATGAGAATTTAAACGAAAAATGGTTTCGCCAAAGTGGAACCGAAATGTTTTTGGTCCAATCGGAGATCCATTGGAAACGGTGATATTGAATTTATTACCACGGTGATTCCGCGAGGGTTTATGCGTATGCACCAGAAAAGCTGACGCTATAACATCAAAGTAATAGCATCAAACGTTATGATACAATTTCCTCGTTGCATCCCATCTTGGTCGTAAAAATAGCGAAATTATGTTAATGTGACATGTACAATGCCATACGATACACAATTGTTTTCAAGTACTCTGAATATCTCTGTTCTGGAAATTAATGGAGAATCAGATACCAACCACAAATAGCTTGACATGTAACGGTAGCGGTCACATTACTAACGAAGCGAAATTGCTGTTATATAGTTCATTTAATTAGCGAATTAATTCAACTACTTTCGATGTTTCGACATTTTAAAAGAATCTTTGTAGAACGAACGCCAAATTTCATGAAACTTAATTTCTAACAATCTACCAATCGAGCTGATCCCCTGAAAACTACCAAAATGGATGGAACATGTTTCGAAGTTCTACAGCGCTATTGTTCACTTACATGACAAAGGATGGTTAGTTCAAGGGATTAGTGGTCGTTTCCAAATTCCCTCCAACTCTCTGATGCGCCAGTTCTGTCCATTATCGGTAAAGTAGCTACTTAACTTTTAATATGTAAGTTTCATCGTTGAAAGCTTCAAGAAAATTTAAAGAATGTCCCTTTCCTCATAAAGAACGAAAATATTTTCAAAGATATACGCTAAACAAACTCGCGTGCGCGCGAGAATTTACTAAAATATTTAATAAAATACTGAAAAGCGCAAAACTTATCATAAAATTTAATTTAATGACAGCGAAATAAAATCTAAAGAAAATCAAATAGTGATTACAACCAAGCAAAAATGACGACTTTGACAACTAATGGCACATACGATGATACGAGACCCCATATTGATTTTGAAGTAAACTTCGGATACCACTCCATTCGCAAACGAGAGGGCCTTTTCTAAGCAATCACTTAAGAGTAATGCCGCCTCTCACCTTTCAAGGATATATCTTCCGCTTGTCAAACTGTAAGTTTCCCGCGAAAGTGTCACGTAGAAGAGTCGTTGCGAAAGTTTACGCTAGGGAATAGTGTGAGCAACAGGACTGTCACTCGACAGACTTCATCGATCCAAAGCTCAGGAAACAGCGACAGTAAATTTTCCTCGGTCATTTCCAAGTTACGAAATTGTCATAATTGATTAAATTCCATTTGCGCCATTAATGTTGTATCTGAGTGGTTCATTGAATTTATTTCGATTATTCAAGTAAATTAAATTTACTCGAAAAGTAACATTGTTAACTCGATTTGAGCAAATCAAGTTCTATATATTTCTCGACTCATTTTTATATCTTTATGTTCTTAATTATTTCAATATCCATGTAGCTTGTGTTTAAAGCATTTTCGCGTTAGTTTACAATTAATCGATTTCTACGTACGACGTTAACCATCGTAGATGTTCCGTAACAGAAATTTTGATTGTGTTTGCGACAGTGGTATGGTTAAGTCCACGCCGATCAAGGAGGAATTGAATTTGCACTACGCTGCTTCGAGCTGTTAGTTGCACGATCAAACAGAACTCTAAGAACTTCATTGTCTTCAATGCAGAGAATTACCTAAAGTCTTGTTCCATTATCGATGGAATTGTGTTAAGGGTGACGAGTTTAGCTAAATTCAAATAACAATCGATACTTGTATTCGCTGGTTTTTCGTTATTGATATACTTTAAAAATATATATATTGTATATATATAATTTATATCATTTTATTTTCAAGTATTTTAGATGCATTTATTAATAAAATTGATAGATCTTTTATTTAGAGCAAAACACTTTTCTATATTTCTACGAAACAAGATTATATTGCCTGTGTTACTTGAGATAAAAGTAATAGAATATTTTCTCTCTCTCTCTCTCTATTTCTTAGATATGTGTGTATATATATTTTAGATGTATTAGAGAAAGTAGAAACTATTGTTGAAAGCATTGAGGAAATTACTTAATTCTATTCATGCCGATGCATCTACGACGCGACTACGAAAGTACACGTTGCTTGTTGCAAACGGCGGCGGAGGAATTTTCCCGAGATCTTCCTACGAGATGCACTTACTAGCTCATTCATATTTTATGGGTGGAGTAAGACCGGGGGTCTTCCTCGCTGCGCGTTTATCCGTCTATACTGACGGATATCACCCACCGTTCTTCAATGCGCGGCAAATGGTCAGAAGCAGGAAATAGAGAGAGAGTGGCAGATCCCAGGAGCGTTTTCGACGACCGAAGATGCATACGAACGACTTTAGGAATGTAGTACAAATGTAAGCCACCTGCAGACGTAGATATTTCACAAATATTCAGTGGAAATGGCGTGACGGTGCGCCGTTGCTTATCTTTTTGGGACAAGGAGAGATTTATTTTGTATCGCGTTTAACTCACCTGTCAAAGAAATCAAGCATCTCAGTAGAATCTTTTTCAATATCTGTACGATAGTTTTTCTTTTATATCATGGCAGAAATGTTTATAGTAATCAATCATAGCTGTTTAATCGAATACAGATAGAAATAAAAATAAATAAAGAATAATAAAGACAAAAACAATATAAGATATACTATTTGCTTTTTAAATTCGCTATGCACTGTAGTTCAAATTTCCAAATTATTGGAAATAAAAAAAGATTGCTAACTAGGACAAATGTTGCGATTATTCAGTTGATTCTTTTGCAATGAGTATTTCGTGTCACGTTCCAATGGTGCTTTAACAGCATTCTGTAGATTCGCATCTTATTCCACGTACAGAATGTAAGGTAGAAAATCCCGGATTCTAGTAGGCAGTTCCGCGGACGTGCACGATTAAAAATTCATAGAAAATCTTCGAGTCGGTACAATTTTACGGAATCTTGGATTTACCCGGGCTTCCGGAGAAGTTTGATTGCATTAGTCCGATTGTGTATCGCTATGAGAATCGTTTAAAACTTTCGTGATCGCCCAGAAATCATCTCGATATACCGATAAAAAATATATATAAACTATTCAAAAATGAAATATCTGTTATATCTTTCCCAAGTATATCTTAAAAATAAGCATATTCCATTATTGTCTCTGTTATTGTGAAGATATTTTTCTTTTTATAGAATCTTAAAAACGCAACAGAATTACCACGATACTTTCTGGGCATTCAAGTATATTAATGTCGCATCGAAAGGATTAAAGTACAATCGCATGTAACTTTCTAGCGGGTTACAGTTAAAATTTACAATTATTAATGCACACGAGAGGGGAAGCGTTAACCATGACGGATCCCCTTTTGTTCCTAAAAAGCCCGCCGCTTCTAACGGCCGAAGCCACTTTCGTTCTGCCATTCGGGAAAATACCAAACGACGTGCTTTCCAGACGTTCGCCGAAAGCCGCAGCATGCTTTCACGAGGACGAGAAAAGGTCAGAAGGGGGAGGAATATGCAACTGCAGTTAGAACGGAGCACTTCCGTCGACGCGCGGAATTTACATCGCTCGCATATTCGCAACTCGTTGTCGGTGGTTCTCGTAGTCGCCAATAGAACCGGAACGTCACGACAAGACGAGTAAGACTCGTTTTAGTGGCGATAGCGATAGTGTAAAGTGGAGTATGCTGGTAGGATGCATTTCGATGGCAATCCTTTTCCAGGAAAATAAACGAGAAGTGCGAATCTCTGATTACTTTGCAATCAATGTAAAATAAATTGTAATTTGTTAATATTTTCAATACTACGAAAGCGAAATGGGTACTACAGTTTATAGTGTTAATACAATTTTACTGATGTTTTAATTAAAACGACAGTAAAATCATGTAGAGAAAATCTTTATACGCAAAAGAAAAAATATAAAATTGCATTTTTAAGATAGACATTAAATTAGATTAAATTTTTGCGAGAGATACCTCAGGGAAATTCATTTAATTACATACTCTTTGGATTACTTATTTTACTAAAAAGGGAAAATCATGACTGTGCGGCCAGCGTCCGCGATTTTTACACAGTTGTATTCTCGTAATACTTGAAGAAAATATGCAAACGGCTGTCACGACACCTCCTTTATTTCTCGGACATTTTTAATTCAAAATCTGCATAAGTAATTTTTGCTTTTAACAAATATAAACTATGCTTTCTTTTTATCGTCAAACATTAACTAATAATAATAAAATAAATTTATCAAAACCTAAATATTTCGTTACGTGAGCTTCAAATTTAATAGTATTTCCAAATTATTTTTTATTATCGTCGACAAAGCATAATAACTTATAGCATAATAACTTATGTTCCGCG